TGTACTTGTGATCTCAAAAAATGAAAAAATGTTTTTTTTATTTGGGTGTCCCATTTACAGTTATTCATATTTTATGGTAGTGTCATAGAATGCAAAATGTTTTGCTAAAATCATTTGTCATAATCTTGACGAGGCAAAACAATAAATTCAATAACGTGATCATCCTGGCCTTTTCCTGTGACAAACGTCATCAAGGACTAGGCTTATTTCAGGTTGTTGCAGCCATTCAAGTTGCGTCTTGAGGTAAGTTCAATCTTCAATGAAGTCCTTTGTTGTGCTGCTAAAGAGGTCTCGTATGGGGCAGGGCTATTGGAAGAACAAAGCAGAGAACTTGGTAAGTAGAACACACGATGAACAAATTCCAAGGGTAGAGGTAGCAAGATGGGCACTTCTATCGATCTGCCTAGAGCTCAAAAGGATTATTTATTGTTAGAAATGATGTTATTTACCATCATTTAAAGAAAAAAAAACCCTCACATTTATTATATTATAGTGACTGCATATATGCCCTGAATTTGCAAAATCAAGAGCTAAATTGACATTGCTCAGTATTCTTCTGCATGACGGCAGTTGTGTGTGAAATAGATCAATTTTTCTTCTCATTTTTAATGGATTTTTTCCATCAAGACACCTATGAGCTATTGCAACTAGAAGTTCAGTGTTGCATTTTGAGAAGTGACTTCTTAAAAATACATGAAATCCTATGATGTTTATAGGCCAAATGTTTTCAGAAAATGCTTGCTTCTCTTGGATTAAAAGTTATTGGATTATTTCTCGTAGTGATTTCTATTGAAGAAGCTATGTTCTAGTCATATATTGGGTGTAGTTATTTGACTATTAATTCTTTCCTTTCGGCCATGAACATCCTGCATCAATACTTTTCATGTTGAATACTTTGCACACTCGCACTTATCAGATTGTTGCACTCCTCTATTTACAGTCTTAGGTTTTGGCGCGCAAAAGGATTTATAGTCCTCACAAGAACTTGGCCATCAACATTTTCTGCTGGCCTTTACGACACTACTTTGTGGTTCACGTGCTCTTTATTTTGGAACCACAATTTATACATGATCTTTTAGGAAATCTTCTCAAGTGGTTTTGTAGAAATATGTATTACTTGCTCCTTGAATTTCCCTTGCTTTAATTGAACTTCATTAGAACTTGTATGCTTTCTGATAAAACTGAATTGCTCATCATTATGCTCAGACCTTGGTTTGCTGAAGACAGAGAATCTCCACAGCTTGCTTTTGATGCACTTGTAGTTCCTCCAATTTGCTTCTTCACCAGATTGCCTAGCCATGATATTCTTTTCTCATCATTATGTAGTGCATATACGTATTGGTCTTCTTCCTTACCTTCGTCTAGTGATATTAGATGGTAGCTTCCTCTTCTTCCATGGCGGATTAGAGCCCACCTTCGAGATTTGTCAACGACCACCACTCTCAGAGGAAGATGACCACCACCCACCATGAACCAGTGCAGAGGATGACCTCAACCCACCGTCAACTACCAAGAAGGACGAAGCTTTATATTTTTCACAGCATCTTCACCAAGGAAGACCAAAGATCTCTGTTGAGCTTCTCACCTTCGTCGTGGCTTCTGCAGTGGTTTATAGGTCTTGCAGTAGGTGAAAACGATGATGGTTCTTTTGGTTTCAAATTTCTTAAGATATTTGTGATTTGCTAATGTAATTGATTGAATAGGATATATGTAGTATTGTTTGTAGTTGGGAGGGTGCTTTATGGTGGTCATCGGCTAAGGTGGTCGTCAATGGTTGTTTGGTTATTACTTGAGAGGGATGTGATTTTTTCCCCCCATATCTTGAGAGGGGATTGTGGTATTTGTGTATTATAAATATATATTTTTAAAAAGATTATATCAAGATTTTATCTAAATAACAAACATATTTTTAATCTCAATTCTATTTCAATTTTAATTTTGATTTCAATTCTAATTTTTTAAAAAAACTCTTTCATCATCCCAAATAAGACTCAAGAGAAACATTTTATTTTCTATATCTTATAATCAAATCATGAAAACGTGCATAGTCATATCTTTAAATGTGATAGAATTTAACATAGATATATCCAAATACTGAATAGAAAATAATTTCTAGTATTATAATTACCCATACCCTACTACTCTTAAATTTGAGGATGACTCAACAAAACAAAAAAAAAACCTAAATAATATTATTAAATAGAAAATATGTAAAATAAATTAAAATAATATTTATTTCTGTTATTTCTACAACGTTTTACATCACATATTTTCTCATTATATTACGTGCTCTCTCAAAGTCCTACTTTCTTTCAAGTATTGTATAATTTAACAATGAGGACAAAAGTACTATATTACTCTTCTGCTCCAGGCTTCCAAATCATAGAAAATAATTTTATAAAATGTCTTAACAAAGTAAAAATGTAACTAAATTTTGTTCAGGTGCTTGACCCAAAGGTAATCATGGAAGTTGGAAACATTTTAAAGAAAATTAGGGGAAAATATCAAAATATAATTATTGGTCCCTGTATTTTTACTGTATTCTGTTATTAGTCATATTTTATTTTTTTGCTACTCAAGATCCCTTAAGTTTTAGTCTACATCATTAGTCTATATAATTTTTAAATTTGACCATAAGGATTTTTTTTTTTTTGGTTTACTCACAAGTCTCCTCCTATTGGAAACAATTATATTTAAGATATGATCAAGTATTAAATGTAAGCAATCCTCTTAATGGGAATTCATGTAACATCCTAGTTTTTATTTAAGGAATTAATTGTGAGAATTCTAAATTTAAGATTAGGATTTGAAAATTATTTTGGGGTATGATTAAAGGATGAGTTTGTATGTGAGGTCATTTGAGGTTAGTAAATGACTAGGAATTTAAATGTGTCGCTGTTTGGGATTCAAAGTAGTTAGGTTGAGATTTGGTGATGAATTAGTATGTGGTAATTTTGATTATAATGTCTGCAGTCTTTAAATAAAGACAGTGGATGGGTTTAAGTGATTTCAATCATTCATGATTGTGAAATACATAAACCACTATCGATCGCAGTTGAAAACATAGATAAAAATTTCTATCCTAAAAATTAAATTAGAACGTGAGAGAGGGAGAGGAAAACATAGAGGAGTGATTTTTCTCTACTAGAGCTTAATTTTTCAAAACCTTGGAGCTAGATTTGAACTTTGCAATAAGTTTTTTGCTTTTCCCTCTACCATTCTACCCATTTTTATTTGAGTTTGAGGATGATTTTTAAATTAAGGTGTTCCTATAAGGTAGGTAATCCAAAGTTATAATAATTTATCATTTTTGTTAAGGTAGTTGAGAGTGTAATAAATGCTATAAAACATCTATTTGATATTGGATTATGAATTTGAGAAATTTGAGTTAAAACTCTAAACTTACATAGTTTAGTTTATATTGAATATGAATCATTAGGATGAATTTATGATGTTTAAATGTTTATTTGAGTGTGTGTAAATGTTTCTAAGGCTTGGAATGGTGATTTAAGGTTTGAGAATAATTTTTTATTTTTCAAGGTATTTTTGGACGAATTTAGGAATATGGACTAATGAAATTGTGATATTAGGAGTGATTTGAGACTTAATTATATTTTACTATTGCATGGGAATTTTATAGAGAAGTGTGAAATGGATAAAATGGGTGCTTACTTTAATTTAATGCTAATTTTGGGTTAGGTCTAGACTTTCTAACTTTATAATTGGAGTTATTTATTAATTTCAAACTTAAAATTAACACTAATGTATTATGAAATAATTGTGTAGATTGTATTGACCAAGAGTATGGTGGAAGTGGTGTTGTCGAGTTATAAAGTAATCATTATTAATGCATTTTTTTATGTTTTTTATGTGTTTTGAAAATTATTTGCCAAGAAGGATGATATATATTTGTATATATAGATATATATTGTTTGATATGAATTTTTGTGTTTGGAATTATGACAAAGTGTTCGGATATGTTTTAATATGCATGATTTGTTAGATTTGAAATATATGTGTGCTAGGGATTTTTGTTCAAAGACAATATACCATGTGGTGGGCCTTTATTGAACCCATTAAGTAACACTTAGCTTGGGCCGACTTATCTTTAATGTTGGTTTTGGACATAATGTAAGGAGGGATAAAAGATGTGTTAAGCATTTTTATTCGGATTGTTTGGATAAACTGCGTTTGGAAGCTTGTTGTAATATGTACACTTAGCAAACCCATGGTTAATTATATCATATGTATCATTATATATTAACTTTGGTTATTAGGACCTTTGAATATTATTTATCATGGTTAATATTTTTATAAGAATGGGTCTAGTTGAGGAAACACTAGAGGCCTAGATTGATACATGGGACACTAGTTTCTTTTGTCTCACTTCTTTTTGGGTTATGTAATGTATAATTGTCAATCTAAGATAATTATTATTACAATTGGGCATGTAGATTCTATATTTTAATTAACTTCATATATGGTGCCAAGTATGCTAGGTACACCTTGATGGATTGACAGCACAAACAACATCAGTAAAAAGAACAATACAAGCTAAGAAAATGAAAAATAATTAATACCCATGGAGATTAATAAAGAGATTGAAAAAATAACAAGGCATCTAAATAAACGATAAACTCAAAATGAATGAAATGTAAGAAAAAATCAGAGTCAACAAATGAACTGGTATTCACGCAACTCTATTTTATTTCTAACTAGTGCTTAATTGATGCTAGAGGGAATGAATTTGAACTTTCGAAATCTAAATTAAAACCTAAACAACATAACTGATTAACAAATATCGATGTAATATAAATAGATTTTATATATTTTGGTTAAGTAGTTTTTTCATTAATTATTATCTAGTTATATGTAATAGAATACATACATACATACATACATACATACATACATACATACATACATACATACATATATATATATATATATATATATATAATGATTGGCAGAAAAAAAAAAGTTTTATAAAGAAAAGCGTTTCTTGACATTTATTTTTTTATTTTTTTAAGAGGAACACATTACTTATTTGATTGTCACCAAAAAATCACATTCGGCGGAGATGGGCAATCAATCTTAGCTTCTTTTCTCTTTGCGCTGTGTCATTTCCTTCTCGCATTTCCCCTTTGGGGGAATCAGCGTTGATATATCAGACATTGTTCTTCCGATTTCATGTGGAAGATGTTGTTCTCTTCTGCTACTTCAAGGTATGCCTTCCCCAAATCTAATCTCTTCCTGCAATCCTTTCCCTTTTCCTCCATTTTTTCTCTCCCCTCCGCCTTCAGTCTCCAATTCTGTGTTCATTCCCATTCCCCAAACCCTAACAGCCTCCGAGATTCCTTCGCTTCCTTCAAACGCTTGCTCCACATGCGTCCCCAACCCTCCATTGTCGAAATTAATAAGATTTTAGTATCACTTGCAAAGTCCAAACACTACCAAGCAGCTATGTCACTGTCTGCCCAGGCGGAATTGAAAGGATTCCAACCATCTTTAGTTACGCTGTCCGTTTTGATCAATTGTTATTGTCAAGCGGGTGACATGGCTTCCGCTTTCTCTTCACTGGGTAAGATTTTCAAGTGGGGTTACCAACCAGATACTATAACAATGACTACGTTGGTGAAAGGACTCTGCATGAAAGATGTAGGGAAAGCACTAGACTTTCACGATGACCTGTTGACAAAAGGATTTTGTTTAAATGCAGTTACTTATGGTACATTCGTTAATGGGCTGTGTAAAACTGGAAAAACTAGATGTGCTGTTAACTTGCTTCGAATGATGGGGAGACGTAGAATTAAAACTAAGCCTGATTTGATTATATACAACACAGTCATTGATGGCCTTTGTAAAGAAGGGCTTGTAAGTGAGGCATCTCAATTGTGTTCTGAAATGATGAGCCAAGGATTATGTCCTGATATTGTCACGTACAACACCTTAATTCATGGTCTCCTCTGCGTCAATCAAATGCAACAAGCTGCTGAACTTCTAAATGAAATAGCTTTGAAAGACATCACTCCAGATCTTTATACCTTTAATATCCTAGTCGATGCATTTTGCAAAAGAGGAAGGATTGTAGAAGCTCAATCTGTCCTTGCCAAGATGATGAAATGTTCTATAAAACCTGATTCTGTTACATTCAACTCTTTGATGCATGGGTACTGTATAAGGAATAGTGTTGATGAGTCAAGAGAAGTTTTCAACAAGATGATCAAAAATGGCTTCGCTCCTGATGTCTGGAATTACAATATATTGATCAATGCACATTGTAAATTAAAAATGGTGGATGAAGCCCTAGATCTTTTTAAAGAAATGTGTTGCAAAAATTTGGTTCCTGATATAGTCACTTACAGCTCTCTTATCGATGGCTTGTGCAAAGCTAAGAGATTCTTGTATGTGCAAGATCTTGTTTATGAGATGCGTCTTAATGGCCAAGCTCCTGATATGATAACCTACAATATTTTGTTGGATGCATTTTGCAAAATGAAACTTCTTGACAAGGCAATTGCATTATACCAGCAAATGATCAACCAAGGAATGCAACCTACGGTGTGGACTTGCAATATATTGATTGATGGTTTGTGCAAGGGTGGTAGGCTAAATTTAGCACATGAGATCTTTGAATTCCTTTTGACTGAAAGCAATCATCTAGATGTCTGCACTTACAACATTATGATGAATGGACTTTGCAAAGAAGGCTTGTGCAGTGAAGCATTGGCATTGCTTTCAACAATGACAAAGAATGGCTGCCTTCCTAATTTGGTGACATTTAGAACGCTAGTGGGAGCTCTTTTGAAGAAAAATGAGAATGATAAAGTAGAGATGCTTATTCATGAAATGATCGGTAGAGGTCTTCGAAAATGGTAAAATAAGGTCACAATACTTCTGATCATTGCTGTACTTGTTAAGATTTATTCAAAATAAAAGGGAAAAAAAAGTTGTTGCTTCTTTTGGGTTGATGAAGTTGTACTATTCAATTAGTCGATTGCTCTTGAAGATGTTTTTGTTGAAGTCATGTGCTAATATATTAACTTTGCTTTGTATTCTTAGAGGATTGGACCTTTTTTGTGTAATTTTTGGTCTTAGGACTAGTTTGTTCCTCCTTGTTTTACAGTTCATTAATAATTTGGATTTTTTTTTTCAAACTTTAACTAGTATCAAGTTTTTTTCTCATGAATAAGCATTTTTTTCTTACATAAATTGTTGCTAAAAATAACATGATATTGTCTTAATTTTATTATTTAAAGCTATTCTGGCATGAAGAATATTGTGGGCGCTTAAAAATTAATTTGTGATGAAAAATCACTGCCTAATTATGGAGTACAATTATAAATAATGGTTGTGTCAGTATTATGCTATTATTAATTGGTTAATCTGTGTAAACGGTTTGCAAATGCAGATCTCTATTGGCTAACTCAAAAAAACAATGTTGTCATAGTTTTAAACCTTTAATTTTGAAGCACTTTGGATGCCTCCTCAATTTTTTATAAGGTAAGATTAACTATCCTGAACATGTGATGTTTAATTTCTTAATCTGTAGCATTTGTATTCTTCCTTATCTTAAATGAAGTAGCAAATTCAAATATGCTTGAAAGTGATTTTGTTAGTGGGAGACTTTTTTTATTTTTCAATTGGAGCATGTCTAAGTTTCGGTAGATATAAAAACTGGAAAATTTTTTGGTAGGTTTGTTTATAGTCAAATTTAAATGAGCATGACCTTTGTGAGTTGATATGTGGAGTATGGACATTTCAATCATATTAGTATACTTATAATACCATTAATGATGAAGGAACTAAATTTAAAAGTTTTTTTAGATATGAAAAAAAGGGAAATTGCAAAAAAGAAGGTAATTAATAAAAAAGGGTATGAAAAAAGGCTGACATTATGTTATCAATTTTTTCATGAAAAAATCGCTCTCCTTGCATTTATTTTTTCAATCATGAAAATGTTTTATAACAAATTAAAATAGTTATAGATGTTGAGTAATATTTGATTAGGTAATATCAGAAATATTAATATTAGTTTGAGATAACAAAGTTACCCTAGTAAACAAATCATAAAATTATATCCTGCAAAACTAAAAGAGCCATTAATATCATGGGGAAGTTATACAAATTTAATAAAAATCTATCCACCACACTTTCAAAATGAAGAGGAAAAAGTAAAAAACAATAAAAATTACAAATACATAGTTTTCGTTTTAATTTTAGCTGAAAAGTTTTTATAGAATTAAGTACCTATACAAGTGGCTATGTGATGGCCATGGTGCTGTATTCCATGCTGCAATTAACCAGACAAAGGCACAACATTTTGAAAGTAAGAAAATGATATATAAAAGTCTTCTGATCATCATTATACATGAAAGAACCATGTTGTGATTGTAAGTATTAATTTTGATTCTAATACTTCAAACATCGAATGGCTGTTGCGAGTAATTAATATAGAACTAAGCATGAATATTTTGTAGTTAAGTATGTCTAAAGATACATTCATGTATAAATTATTTTTAACTAATATCATTTTCGACACAAAAAAGCCAATGAAAATAGAGCATTAACAAAGTATATCTTGTCCCTTTTATCAGTGTCCAAGAAGCTCCCTAATCAACAACTCTTGTTCAGTTGCATCAGCATGCTTCAAACACGTTTCACTACAGTCTACTAGCAGACACACGACCCTCAAATTGTGAAAGCTGGAGCCACATGTGCTTGTGCTCTACTCTTGTCTATCTCTCACTGCCCCTTTAGATATTATAGGTTTGATATTGTTGGCTGCTTGTAAATCTTCCAAAAGAAACCATCATAATGGAAAATCTTTCGAGAAGCACATAATAACAAACCATTGAATATATAATTACATACTATAAAGGTGTAAGTTAATGAATGGTAACAAAAGAATGCTACATATAGGAATGACATTTGAGAAAATCAGTATAAGTTTGTGCTACGCGACTAGTAATCAGAATTATTTTTTTGGTTATTTCCATTTTTTGTTTTGGGGCTCGCTTGTCAAAATAGTGAGTTTACAATTTACAAAACATTGGCTGAATTGGTAACTGCTAAAAAAGATTTCCCTACCTTCCCTGTAAAACTTGCTGTCAAGGCATGTCACTCCAGCTAAAAAGGAAGAAAAGTTTGACACCGCAACTGTAGAAGGAAGATAGGAAAAGATTTACTGCAGATGTTTAATGAAATTACAAAAAGAATAACGTTGACAATAAAATATGAAACCGTTGGTCAATACACAACACACAAAAAATGCACTGACGAAACCAAAAGTATACAGCCGCATGAAGTTGATTACCCACAAGGTTAGGTTTCCTTGGTTAACATCCAATAATCAGTTAATCACAACATTCAGCTGATTACACTGCCTTTGATTTCCCTAACTGCAAGTGAACTGCATTTTCTTCACTTTGTGATAGGAAGTCAGATTTTCCTTCAAATATTTTCCATACACAACCTCTGATATTGATGCCACACGTTCTTACCTGGAGATAAAGGCTCCCTCATTAGCATTTTCAAAAACAAATATTTCCTATACTCTAGATATCTATGGCAGGGGCGTACTGCACAAGAAACCATTTTCAGAACATTAGGGAAACACCGAAAAGAAGACCAATAGAACAGATAAATCCAAATAATAATCAGAAATAAAATTCGGTAAGGGTCATGTTTAGTAAGTAAACTTCAGTGCATAAATAATTAATAGATTTGAAAGAAGTTAAAAATCAAAATATTTTTGCAAGAAATTAAAATAATAATCATAATGTGTCATTGGTAACAGATGTAGGCTTGATATAGAGCCTCTTTGATTTGTACAAAAAGTTGGTGGTCTATCAATTTTGCTTTCTTCCAGCTTCAATCCATCATGGCTAAAGTAAATAAAGATCACTACATCCAAGAAGTCAAATACATCATTTTTCTTCTTTCATGTAAAGCTCAATGTCGCCCTCAGCCCTCTCACTCACGCCTCACAAGTATCAACTGTCCACTCTTCATCTTTCAATATCAACAGACCCACCCCTGACCCCTCCAACACCTCATGAAAGATAATTGACGATCAGCTTCATTGTAGGGGATGCATTTATATATGTCATATCTAGCAATAAATCTAGCTACTAAATTCTCAAGTGAATTAAACAGGTATGTGAATTTTATATCAATAGGTTAATAGACAGATATACAAATGTGTCATTACTGATGCTTTGTATAGTAGAGCATGTTCAACCAAGTATGCTTAAAAAATATCCCAAAAAATGAATATTAGCTGTCCTATAATTGATATTAGTGTGCCTGGACTTGCTTGTAAGATGAATCTCTGATATACCAATAACTTGGTAATGTTTTAGTCCATTGAAAAAAGAAAATCAGGTAACATTGTAGATTTAGATACCTAGACTTTGTGACTTGAATTGCCTTGGCACAAATAGGGCAGGGTTGGCGTGTTGGAGTAAGGATGGGCAAACTTTCACCAAAGAAAGTGTAAAAATGAATGTGTCAAATGCACAAGAGGCCATGATTTCTATCCTTTTACTCAGCATCTACTACTTGTGATTTTGGTGAACTTGTCATACGTAATTTGGATTTTTATTATTATTATTATTATTATTATTTTACTTTTTGGATTGTTAATATTTGAAGACCATGTCTTTCTGTCTCCCCTCTCTCTCCCTCTTCTTGACTGGACCTCATAATATTTGAAGACCATACTCCCCGTCCCTTTCTCTTCTAGACACCTGGAGATGGAAGATTGATAAGCTTTTGATATCTTTTAGGCACATGTGCAAGGGTTTACTTTAAATATAACGCAATGATTTCTCTTTCGATATCTAAACTATCCACCTTTTCTAGGTACAGAGAAAGTGAAACCATTTCTCTGACACTTTTTCCTCCAAATAACACCTCTACTTTTGCCTAGCATGTGGCCTAGCTGCAGTTCCATTCCAAAATAGGGAAAGGATTACATGTTATCATTCGGTCTCTATGAAGCAGCCTAATGAAAAAGCAATACTCAAAGTTCTGCAGAATGAGACTGGTGTACTGTGCCACGCTATTAATATACTATGAATGATGCTTGTCCTGGGCTTTTCAAGTGGTTTCAATGAATTAGCCTCTAAATTGCTGACTGCTTCTTCCTTTTCACTACATCATGAAGCAAAAGATTGTCATCATAATGATATCTCTGTTTTACTGGAATTTGCTCTTCATCCATTTATTTTATCCAACTTAAAATTAGCTAGTTCTCCGATCTTGGCATATTGCTCTCCAATCTTCCTTTCTCTCAAAGGTTAGTCACAGCCAAGTGATAATTTCATCGTGGCCTGATATTTTTTTTCCACCATACTATACTTAACATCCAATATACGTTGTCTGTAGGGAGCAACTGAACTAGCTAAATTTTACACTTTTCCCTATCTTCAGACCCTATATGGGTTGCTCTACACCCTACAAATTGGCCAGGAAGCAAACAATTTGATGGCAACAGATTTTAAGGGATGAGAAGACATGAAAGGAGAAGCAAAATCTTATGTGCTGAACAATATCAAATCTATTGATAGGGGGAAGAAGACAAATATGAAAACAATTATTTTATATTGCCCGTGAAGTGATGAAGAAAATTATTAACATAGAAAGTTCTTCAAGTTATAATTTGAGACAGTTATCTCTGATGTTAATTACAAGGTATGTTAATCTTTGCATGTTTCATATAAATTATTGTCAATTCGTTTAACTTGCATTCAGGTATCATTTCATATTTTGCCTCTATTAATTATTTTCCATTTGATTGCTGCACTTTTGGTAAGGTAATAACATCCATAGCATGTCGACTATCTGAAATGTTGTCGAAAATTTGCTTTCACTTATAAATAGCATAGGCTTTAAAGAAAAGAAAATTGAATCATAACCACTAACTTGAGATTTAAAAAGAGCATTTAAAAAGACTTTGCAAAGTGCTTTGAAAAAATGAGTTGGTTTAAAAAGCATTTGCAAAGTGATTTGAAATGGGGAAGGAATATGGAAAATAATCAAAATAATAATGATCATAAAAAGTTACCTTGACGAAGAAAATCCGATTTTCATGCTTCCAGTACAGCAATAACGAAAATATATGATAATAAAGAGTTTCCAATTCATCCATTAATGATGAATTCAAGTTCTCATATGTTGAGCTCTTCTAGCATCCATAATCCATGCTGTGGTATTACATGGATCCTGTGCAAAACCGATAAAAAATATAGGGTTAAAAGTTGAACAATATAAGGACCTACACATTTGGAACCAAACTTGAAATTATTCAGAAAAGTGAAATAAATCACCATCATATGCACTTTTGTGAAAAATACTACAACAAACAATAACAAGTCTTTATCCTATTAGATGGAGTCGGTTACAGAGATTGCAAAGCGTCATTGTGCTCTATCATTTGCAAGCTTTTAGAAATATTATTAATTAAGAGATCGCGTTCAACAACTTTCAAGAGTGTTCTCTTAAGCTTTTCTCTACCCCTTTTAGCAGAGCTCAAAGTTATGTATTTCACTTTTCTCACTGATGCCTCCCGTGGTCTTCTTTGTACATACTTAAACCATCTCAAATAATTTTCTGCCATTTTTTCCTCAATAGGTGTTACCCTCACTTTTTGGCGTACGTCCTCACTTTGAATTTTATCTTTACATGTATGTCCGCACATCCATCGTAACATTCTCATCTTTGTTACTCCAACTTTATACTCTTGCTGTCCCGTTAGAGCCAAGCATTTTCTATTATATAACATAGCCGGTTTGATAGTAGTATGATAAAAATTTCTTTTAAGTTTATTAGGCACCTTAAGGTCACAAATAACTCCTTTAGCTTTTCTTTAATTAAACCACCCAACTTGAATTCTATGTAAAATATCCCTACTGATTTCGCCATCATTTAGAATAATAGCTCCTAAATATCTAAACTTTTTCACTTGAGATATAATTTGATCTCCTAATTTCACTTCCAAATTACTGCTAACTAGTCTCTTACTAAATTTATAATATAAATATTCCATCTTATTCCTACTCAAACAGAAACCTTCCGACTCCAATATCTTCCTCCATAACTCAAGTTTACAATTAATCTCCTCTTGTCTCTACTATAAGAACTATATCATTCGCGAAGAGCATAAATTTGATAATTTTCTCTTGAATATGTTCCGTCAAAACATTTAGAATCAAGTTAAACAGATAAAGACTCAAAGGTGATCCCTAATGTAGTCCAATCTTTATAGGAAAGTCCTTTGTTTAACCACTAGACATTCTTATACTAGTTTTTACCCCCTTATACATATATTATATAACTTTAATATAAACAATCCGTGCTCCCTTCTTTTTTAAGGCTTTTTAAATCACTTCTCTTGGTATACAACCATAAGCTTTTTCTAAATCAATAAAAACCATGTGTGAATCTTTATCTTTGCAATGATACTTTTTCATTAATTCCCTTAATAGATAAATCGTCTCTATAGTCGATCTACCTGGCATAAAACCAAATTGATTCTCAGAAATACTTGTCTCCAATCTCAACCTATGTTCAATTACTTTCTTCCACTATTTATTTGTGTGGCTTATGAGTTTAATCTCTCTATAGTTAGTATAATTTTAAATATCCCTTTTATTTTTATAAATAGGAATTAATGTACTTCTCCTCTAGTCATCAAGCATTTTTTTAGACTGTAAAATCATATTAAATAACTTAGTTAACTATCTCACCCCTTCTCTGCCTAAACATTTTTACACTTCAATAGATATACAATCAGGTCCGTTGGCTCTACCATTTTTCATTTTCTTAAGAGCTTCCTTTACCTTCTTATCACGTATTATTCAATAGAATGACAAATTTTGTTTTCTTTCATGAGTTGCTAAATCCTCCAAGTTATTAGACGAACCCTCTTCATCATTGAAAAGTTTGAAAAAGTAAGTCTCCCATCTGTTTTTAATTTCATCATCTATAACTAAAATTCTTCCCTCTTCATCCTTTATATACCTTACCTGTTTTAGATCTCTTGATTTTCTTTCCCTACTCTTAGCAATCTTATAAATGTTTTGTTCTCCTTCCTTTGTCTCAAGGCTCTTATAAATTCTTCAAAAGCTTTAGAATGAGCTTTACTTACAGCTCTCTTAGTTTCCTTCTGAGCCATACAATACCTTTCCTAATTTTTCTCATTGTTACACAAATGTATGGTTTTAAAACAGTTCTTTTGATGTTTGATTTTGTCTTGTACACTATTATTCCATCACTAAAACTCCTTATCTTTCAAACCAAAACCTTTTGATTCTCTCAAAACTACTTTTGCAACCTCCCTTATCTTTTTAGCTATATCCTCCTACAAGTTGTTAGCACTTCCATGAGATTCTTAAATTCTTTTGTCTAAAAGATTCCGCTTGAAAATATTTTACTTCTCACCTTTTAATTGCTACCACCTAATCCTTGGTGCTACTACTTGTCAACATTTTTGAGTTTTACTCATAATACACACATCAAGGACAAGGACCCTACATTGTGTTGTTACAACATCCCCAGGAATCACCTTGCAATTTTTATAAAGTCTTCTATCTATATTCATAACCAAAAGAAAATCAATCTGTGACCTTGAGACTTTACTTTTGTAAGTGACGAGATCCTCATCTCTCTTCTTAAAATAAGTGTTGGCAATTTTAAAATCATATGCTAATGAGAAATCAAGAAGAGTTTGTCCTTCATTGTTTAGCTCTCCAAAACTAAAACCACCATGCACCCTCGCATACTGACCAGCCTCTCTCTCGACATGCCCATTAAAGTCTCCTCCAATAAAAAAATTTTCACTCTGTGGTATGTGTCGAATCAACCCTTCCAAGTCCTCCTAAAATAATTCTTTAAGACTAGGTTCTGTCTTAACTTGAGGCACATAAGTTCTAACAATATTAACAGTCTCACGTCCAACTATCATTTTTAAGGAAATAATTCTGTCTCCAATTCTGCTAACTTCTACAACATTCTTCTTCCACTCCTTATCAATAATGATGTCTACTACATTGTGTGTGCTTACTTTTCCTGTATACCAAAGTTTGAAACCTTGAATATTCTTAGCTTCTTCTCCATGCCATTTTGTTTCTTACAGGCATAAGATATTGATTTTCCTTTAAATCATAACCCTACAACCTCTACAGATTTACAATTCAATGTCCCAATATTTCAAGTACCAAATCTAATTTTGCTTTCATGGGCTAACTTCTTTAGCTGTGTACATCCACAATGACACGATAGCCCTTGCTCAATTAACACTACATTCGGGTGTCGATGCAATGGCTCTAACTTTCTTATCATTGTACTCGAGCCATGTAGCGCGTTACTTACGAGCAACAACCTAGCATTAGTATTATAATGTCTGTTGTCCATGTTCATGATAGATTCAACAAAATTTTACATTGACTATTGATGGCCTAACACAACCCTCCTCCTTTACCCAGGCTTGGGACCGGCTATAAACATAGGCGGAATTTG